GCTTTGACATTTCGACGACAATAAAAAGCAGCTTAATAGACAAGGTAAAAAAATTGTAATCCAGAGACTTTTTTTTACCATAAAAGTCCCTTTCGACTACACTATAAGGATATATATATATATATATATATATATATATATATATATATATATATACATATATATATATATATATATATATATATATATATATATATATATATATATATATATATATATATATATATATATATATATATATATATATATATTTATCAAAAGTTTGGTACTTTATTTAAAAGCATTTCCCAAAGTTATTTATTCCAAATGTAATCATTTCTAAAAAATAACTTTAAAATATTTTAAACTAAATTAAATTCTCAAATGAACAAGAATCTACTGTATCCATTAGAGACTTACCACCATTAGGAGAGAGTAAACCTTATTCAATTATTAAAAATCTTATTCACACAGAGTATACCTCACAGAGGTCTTTAATTAAGTATACCTCACTTAGTCTTTAATTAGAGATTCATTAAGTTGTGAGGTATTATTCACACAGAGTATACCTCACAACTTAATGAATCTCTAATTAAAGACTAAGAAAGTTTGCTTGATTCGGAATCTAACATTAAAACTCATCCACATGTGCAATCTAGCTAGCTTCTGCAATGATATGGCTGGTGTATTGGAGGCTATTGGTATTACATGTACCCAAGTGAATGGGATCTTTTTATAGACAATTCATTCCAGAGCCTCAAGCTGTGTTGCTTCACAACAAACAACTACCCATCCATTTTGATGATTTACTGGGTGCATCCTTAAGTGGACTACATCACTATCAAGATGTTGATTAGTGCTTTGAAGTATGATGGCTATTGATGGGATATCATTGCAGGGCTCAATAAATTTTTTTTTTTATTTGTCTCTTCTATTTATTGGTGAACATTTACAGTCTCCCATTATAATTTACATTGAGCATTTGTAGGCTAGTGTGCATAATTTAAAAACCTAATTTTTATTTGCTATTTAAATTTAAAAATAAACAGCATGCCTTCCAAGGAGACCCCTGCAGTTTTTTGTCTCATGTCCACGCATAAGTTTTTTATTTTAGATAGCTTGGTCTTGTCAAGTTTTATTATTTTAAGCATTTCAATACTTGCCAGAAAAAAAAAACTAAATTTCAAAATCAATGAAAGTAAATCTAACAAAATAGGAAATTAATGATTTAAATAGTATATGTACTTTATATGTACTTTTTTTATTTTTGTTTTTGTCCAGTTGTGAATGATAAATGTTAATGTAACAAGTATATATATTGCAAAAAAAAAAAAATCTTTTGAAATACTAAATTTAATAACAACCACCATAAAAAAACAAAAATAGAAACAGTATGCAAATTATAAAATTATTTAATTTTATTATTTCTTTCTATTTAAACTTATTTTAATTTCCAATTTTTTTAGTTTAGCTTTTTTGTTTTTGAAAGTTTTTTCCGCAAAGGAACATTCTAAATAAAATGATTAAAAAAAACTGCTAAACAAATATTAATTTTTATTCTAAATAAAATAAAAACAGCAAAAGAAACATTTTATTTAAACTCTAAATAAAATAAATAAAAATAAACATTTGATTTAGACTCTTAATTAAGCAATTAAAAATGAACGTTTTATTTAAGTTCTAAATAAAATAATTAAAATATAAATGGCTAAACAACTTAAAAACTAAATTTCATATTAATTAAACTTTCCAAAACAAATTATTTATCAAGATATTAACGAAAAAATTTATAATTTTAAACGCTTTTTTTTTGTCCTCTAACTTAAATTCTGGCTCTGATTTTTTTTTCTTAAATGCAGGTTTGATTAATGTTTGATAAAGGACATCAATACAAAAAAGATATATACTTTTGTGTGTGTGTGTGTGTGTGTGTGTGTGTGTGTGTGTGTGTGAATGTGTGAATGTGTGAACGTGTGTGGATTAAGTAAGAAAAAGTGCAAATAAATTTGATTTTATGGAAAACTAAATATTTTTATTAAAAAAATATTGAAACAAAGTAGAAAAGCGTTATACTTTATTTGATTACAATTTTTATTTTGTTAAAACTATTCTGTTGAACTAAGATGTTTAATGCAGTGTGAGCGTTTTTTTTAAGGGAAAAAAACAATCTAATTGAGTAGTTGTGTAAATCGTTTAAAAAACTCTGCCTTAAGTACATTTATTCTACAAACCAGATATTTTTATAATGCAAAAAACTATGCAGATTCATGAAGTTAATATTGACCTCTCAACCGGAAGTATAATGTTAAAACAACAATTGTTTTTTTGTTAATATCCCAATAAATAATTTGTTTTGGTAATTTTAATCAACTCAATAATAGTCTCAGCATTTGTGAATCCCTTTAAATAGGATAAATATCCTGGGTAAAATGAAAAATAATGCATTTAAATCAAGTGAAAAATTTGTAATTTAAAAAAAAGTTGTGGTAGCCATAGATAGCCACTATTGCACATCCAAGTATGCTTCATTAAACAATGTCACTGCTCTTAACAAAGTGTTGTCACCTTTTAAGTAAAGAGTGTTAGCCGGTCCTTTAAGGTGCCATTCTACACAGTATCCCAGCGCTTGAAATAACTAAAATAAATATAAGGGAAATTCAAGGGAAAATAACCTGTTTTTTTGAAAAAGTTAAATTTGATCGGCATACTTTGAAAAACTATTTCGGGCGCTGGTATCCCAAATGCTTATAGTATTTAAATTTCCAATTTAATGTAAACAAAAATCTCGTTCTCCAGTTAATGTTTACCAAATTATATATCATAGTTTTGAAAATTAATAATTTTTAAATATTATTAGAAAAAAAAAAGAAGATAGAAATGGTAACTTTTTAATGAAATAAAACTGAAAAGAAGTCACAGTTTTGAAACTTTTAAAATAATCGCTGTTTTTGGTTATTTAGTTTTTAATATTTAGCTTTAGTTAGGCCAACTATATTAAGAAATATTACATTAAATTTCCCCTGCAAAGTAATTTATAAAGTTGGTAACTCAAATTATGCAATTAATTTTTTGCAAAATCTCTAACTACATCAAGTGCTATATTAAAATGTTAGAGGAAACAAAGCTTAATCCAAAAAAATAAAAAAGTTGTTTAATGTAACACCTACAAGTGATGTTATGTCAAAGGTTTTGCCCGTGAGCTGAAGATTTGTGGAATTCGTTGAGTTTTTCTTTACAACCTCTTTGTTTGCCTTTATAACAAAGCGTTTTATTTAAATTCTAAATAAAGTTATTAAAATAAAAATAGCAAAACAAATGTTTTCTTATTTTTAGCTTAATTCTTTTTTTTTTTTTTTTTTTAACTCCTGGTCTTTTGTAGTTAATATATGATCTTAATGTAAAAAAGTTTTTTAAAATAAAATTTGAGATTTTTTTTTTTTGCAGTTAATCTTTCACAGTGTTATTCAATAAAAAGCTATTCAAGTTTATACAGGGTATACTATCTAGTGTTTCGAATTTGAACTAACGATTATTTGACATTTAAAGCATCAAACGTCATAAAAAAATACAGATATTATATATTATAGTATAAAGTCTAATATTTATGAAATGGGTTGCTATTTGCTTGAACAAAGTTGGGAAATATAAAAAACTTATTTCCAAAGTGGTGAGTCTCCAACATAAACTATGATAAATTTGAAAAAAAAATTGGACAAAAAAGACGGCCTTCATAGGTATTTCTATGACAATATGTGAATTGTGTTCGTGAAACTGGTTGTGATAGTGTTCGTGAATGTCCATCAACATCGATTCGCCATCAATCTTCAGAGTTAAACCTTTCATGGTCAACTTTGCACCGATTTTTACGTAAAGATCTTGCTTTAAAGGGATACAAAGTTCAATTAGTGCATCAGCTAAATCTGACCATCCCATACAAAGCTGACCATCCAAGACAAAGCTCATTTCCACCTCGATGATTATATTAATAAACCAAACTATCGCATTTGGGGAAGCGAAAACTTCATTGAGGAGAAGCCAATATATCCACAAAGAGTGACTGTTTATGCGGTTTTTGTTCAGGTGACATCATTGGCTCATTTTTCTTTGAAAATGAGGCAGGAGCCACAGTAACTGTCAATGGTGAGCGCTATCGTGCCATGTTATCTTATTATTTTTTCAACCAACTTGAACTGTCTTCGAAAATCAAATTATTAGCAAAGTTTAATGTGAATTGGCTGCCAAAAAGCTGTGATCTGATACTGCTAGACTATTTTCTTTGGGGAGTGGTCAAAGGCGTATGTTACACCAAGCATCCAGAAATGACTGGCGATTTGTTAAATGAAATTGAAGCTGCTATTGTTGTAATTCGGCTGGAAATAATTGAGAACTGCCAAGTCAGTTGTGGTGGACATTTGAATGAAATCATTTCCCATAAATAAATGTCATGAAACAAACTTTCAAATAAAGCAAATTTTATTGAAAATCTAAATTCTAATATCTAAATTTTTTATCTAAAATTTTAATACAGTTTCTTGAATTACAACTATAAAATTAAATAATTAGATATAAATAAAATATACAAATATTAATAAAGATACTTATTACTAAAAATTTTAAAAGAATTTTTAAAAGACCTTAAGATTAAAAAAAGAAAGTATTGTACAAAATCTAATAGCTTGACATTTTGGTGATGTCAAATTGTTTATCTAATTATCAATTTCACAACTACTTGTGTTTTTAAGACTTTTGTTTCTGTGCAAAATTTGTCCGAATATCAATCCCAAAATCCTTTACATTACTAAAAAAAATTTTCTTTTAGAACGTAAACTTTACGCTATTAAAGATATTATTATTTTTATATAAAGAAATATATAATTTTTAATCAAATCTCATACTGATTTTTGTTAAAATTAGTTATAAACTAATATAAACATATATTTTTTTAATAAATGTAAAAAAGGATATTCTTTGAATAATTACAGTTTTCAAAGTTTTGTCATATCAAAAAGCGCTTTATTTAGGCTATTCAAATGTTCCAAAAGATGACAACAACTACCAAAGAATATCAACATCTATCGGCAACAATATACCCATACTTACTAAGAAAGGTAAGTTAATTACATTTTAATAGTGCTGCAGCCACAGATGATTCATTTATATTTTATCATTATATTAATATTATTATAGTTGCATCTATCCAAAGAATGGTCAATCAGATTGGGACATCTCAAGATGTTCCAGAGTTATTTGAACAATTGTAAGTTTGTTTTTAAACTTTATTTGGAAAGTTTTTTTTTTTTTTTTTTTTAAAAAGAGTATGAACTAAATATAAAGAAATATGATTGTGTTAAATATAAAGTAAATAAATTTTGTGTAATAAATATAAAAATTTACAATATAGTATTAATGTTGAAATGTTGTTCACCATAATTTATGGTGATTTTTTAGTTTTTTCTAAAATTCAAGTCGTTATAAAGCCTTGGGGAATCCTAAAAATTATCTATCTTATGTAATTTAAGACAGTTATTGTGTTTTTTCTAATGTAATCAAGTTAAATTTAATGAACAATTTGAAAATATGTAGTCAAAAGTCCCCCATTTACAAGTCAATAATGCGTTTGATATGTTCCAAAGCAGTTTCAGGTTTAAGAAAGTTTTCTTGGATTTAGCAAAGTAGCAATATAATTTTTTTTTTTTTTTTTGTAAAAAATGTTTTGCATTCCTTTTCTTGTAGCAATTTTCTGAGTTCATAAACAAAATAACAAAAAGTCCAAAACTTAATAGCTTGACAGAACTTGTATGCAGGAGTCAAGATTATAAGCATCTAAAGTGTTTTTGTTGTTTCTTCAAAAACTAGTGATCAACCAAAACAGGAAATGTTATAGTATAAAGTCTAATATTTATTATAGTATAAAGTCTAATATTTATGAAATGGGTTGCTATTTGCTTGAACAAAGTTGGGAAATTTAAAAAACTTATTTCCAAAGTGATGAGTCTCCAACGTAAACTGTGAGAAATTTAAAAAAAAATTGGACAAAAAAGACGGCCTTCATGCCAGAACCAAAATAAACCAAGTTTTAGGGTATACTAGTTTAATGCCGAAACTGAATCCAACATTTTAGCAAACATTTTATCAAAATTAAATCTTAAATTTTGTCAAAAATCTGTTTTATTTGAAAATATCTTATCTAAAATGCAATTTTACGTTGTTTATTTAGGTTTGTTGTTTTTTTACATTATTTGTTTATTTTTTTGATGACTTTTTTCCTTCTTATTTAGTAATAATGAAGTAATAATCATAAATAAATAGTAAGAAAAATAAAATTATATATATATATATATATATATATATATATATATACATATATATATATATATATATATATATATATATATATATATATATATATATATATATATATATATATATATATATATATATATATATATATATATATATATATATATATATATATATATATATATATATATATATATATATATATATATATATATATATATATATATATATATATATATATATATATATATATAGGCCTTGTTTCAAAGCGTTATGTGTAGAGTGATTTACGTACACCTTAAATGATTTTATCTAAGCAGTAAGCAATTTTGGTAAAGCGCCTTTTTATCATTTTTTAACTTTTAAATTATATAAGCGATAAGATAAAAGTAATTCATTTTTAAAAAACCACATTAACTTTTGAATGATTTTTATGTAAAAATATTTGTTACAAAAGTTTTGAATGACAATTATGTTAAATATAAGCGCTATTTACTAATAAAAAAAACAAATAAAATAAAATTTTTTATTTTTATTTTTTTTTTATTTTTTTGCTTAAAAAATGCTAATACTTTAAGCTACTTAATGTTGGAAATTTCTCTTGATGTTCTCTTAACGTTGGAAACTTCTCTTGATGTTCTCCTAATGTTGGAAACTTCTCTTGATGTTTTCTTAATGTTGGAAACTTCTCTTGATGTTCTCTTAATGTTGGAAATTTCTCTTGATGTTCTCTTAATGTTGGAAATTTCTCTTGATGTTCTCTTAATGTTGGAAACTTCTCTTGATGTTCTCTTAATGTTGGAAACTTCTCTTGATGTTCTCTTAATGTTGGAAACTTCTCTTGATGTTCTCCTAATGTTGGAAACTCCTCTTGTTTCATTTCATTTCTCTAATGTTGTCTCTAATTTTGTTCTTTGTATATTATATTGCAACTTGAAAATTGGAATTGTTTATTGTTTGAATTTAATTCTATTTTTTTCCCTTCATGAACTGAAGTATTGTTTCAGATTTTTTCTCTAAACCATTTATGGATTGGTTCCTTTGGGAATTAAGTATTTTAAAAGGATCCCCAAGTGCCCAAACAAGTTGTGTTCATATTAAAGAAAATGTTTTAAAAAAATGGGCTGAATTTTTTTGAATAAAACTAAATAATAAATGCATATCAGTAAAACTAAAATTGTTGTTTTAGTCAAAACTTGTGTTTATCTTGGTTATCGGAGTCTTTATAATATACGCAATATTTGTAATACAATTAAAAATAAAACAATATATTTAGTTTGTCAGTTGTCAGGATTTTTTTAAGATTAATATATCTTTTATAAAAGGTTTTTTGTAAAAGATAAACAAAAAAAAATGTTTTATAAAAATATATTGATTTATGCATTCACTTTTTTTAATAAGCGTTATTTGTTGATCGTATGAAATGTGTTTAAAAATATTATTTTCTTCTTTTAAGCAATACGTTAGTGTAGTGCAGCGAATGCTCTAATACTTTAATTTTGGAGACAGTTGTCTTAGTAACAGTTTCAAATTATCCATTGGGACCTATTTTTTATTTAATTTTAAAAGTAGTTTTATGTTCTTTTAATAATATTGTTGTTTATTTATAGCTACATTAGATTATATTCCTGTTAATTATAGTTTATTTAGGTAGTCGCAGTTGAGTGTACATATACTTAAATCGAGATAGGCACAAATAATAATTTTAAAAGTAAAACAAAAAAGTTCTTATCAATGTAGGAATTTTATTTTAATAACCTTTTTTCTATATTCATCCATTTCAATTTTTAGTTGTGTCACTTTGAAAACTTCAAGTAGATAAAATAATTAATACAATATTTACAAAATAAATAAGTAATATAGTATTTACAAAATAATAAGTAATTTAATATTTACAAAATAGATAAATAATACAATATTTACAAAATAAATAATACAATATTTACAAAATAAATAAGTAATATAGTATTTACAAAATAATAAGTAATATAATATTTACAAAATAGATAAATAATACAATATTTACAAAATAAATAATACAATATTTACAAAATAAATTTGACATTTATTCTTACTCAGATAAGTAATAAATATTTTGTTAAGATAAAAAGTACGCTAAATTTTTAATATAAAAGTCTAGATAAAGATAAGATTTTTAGTAACAACTGTTATTAATAAAATGAGCTACTGAAATCTCAAAACCAAATACATTATTTTATTTTTAATTGTATCGCAAAATTTTTTTGGGATTTAGTAAAAAGTTATACAAATAAACATTATTTGCTGATTGTAGCAGAAAAAGTAAATCTTTAAAAAAAAGTTCCACAAGGATGTCATATACTGAAACTTATGAATTAAATGTGCATGAAATAAATTATCAAGTCTGCAGATTGTGGCATATATTATAAAGACTCCAAGAACCAAGAAAAAAAAAAAAGGTGAGCCTCAGTTAAAAAGACATTTTAGTTTTATTGATATGCATTTATTATTTAGTTTTAATTTAAAAAATTTAGCCAAATTTTTTTTTTAAACATTTTCTTTAATATGAACACTTTGTGTTGGCACTTAGGGATCTCTTTAACACTAAACTTCCTTTTAATTTTTTTGAATTCAATTTGTTATATTTAAATCAACAGATAATTTAATAATGATTTTTAATGTATCTTAACTTAAGAATTAAAAACAAAGTTGATAATTTATAGAGTAAAAGTTGAATTTTTAAGTTGTATATAGATATATACAAATTAAAAAAAAACAAAAAAACTTTGTTTAGTTTTTTAAGAAACATTATTTAATTGAAAAAAAAAACTTTCATTCTAAAATTCATTCTAACCTTACATATAGGGAAAATGAAATATTCAAATTGATGGGTAATTAAAAAAAACACTTAATTAAAAAAAGCAACCAATGAGAACTATTAAAATAACAACCAATTGATAAAAAATGTTCTTTAGTCTTGTCATGATGTTGAGTTGCTGAGGAGTTGAGTTAAGTTATCACTTGTGTAGTACTTTTTGGTGAAATAACACTTGGTGCCTTTTATATATTACTTTGCCATGCATGTTTGACAAACCCAATCAAAACCATTTCCATATTTCTCACTGATGCTACTCTTTTGGCTTATATAAACTTCGCCCAAAAATATTACAATACAATATTTACACTAGACTTAATTTGCTATTGTTGCTGATTTTGTTGGAATCATGGTTGTTGCTTGACTTTATTTGCTGCTTATTATCAAAGTTAAGTTTATATTGTTCCCTAGCTTGCTTTGCTTCTTTTTTGCTGTCAGCATCTTTCAATCTCTTGATTATTTAAAGTATATTGATACACTCCTTTTTGAAGTTGGCATCAAGTATTATTGCACCAAAAAGCACTACACAAGTGATTATTCAACTCAACCTTTCAACAACACAACATCAACATTTTTTGCCAAGAAGTGTTTATTTTTTTCTTAAAATTTTTTTCTGAATAAAATTTCATTTTATTCAGAAAAAGGTTCACTACAACACAAAGCCGCAAAACTACTGCAGTATAATAAATTTCCACAAAACAAGATCAATTAAAAAATTAACTCAAATCAACAAAAACAATGTAGAAATGTTATAATGGAATGTTTACTATCTTTAAATTTTTTTAATATTAAATAATTAAATTATTATTATTATTATTATTATTACATTTTTTTAAATGTTTAAATATAAAAGAATTTTTTTTCTCTTCTCGACATAGATATAAATGTATTAAAATAATTTATTATTTAAAACATAATATTAATTTTTTTTTCAATAATATATCTAAAAATTTTAATTTCAGCTACTACTAAAAATAACGTTTTTGTTTTTAAAAAGTTAGCAAGTAAAAAATAAAAAGCATAACTTATTGCAAAAATAAAAACTATTTAATTTCTTTACCAGCAGTTTTGTTGTGAAAGCAAAGATTATTTTAGGCTTATAAGTACCATTTCTTGAAAAATGTATATCGTTGGGATTCCACTTGTCTTAAGAGAAAAAGTTTTGTACGTTCAAAACGTATGTTTTGTGCAAATATTTGATTCAGCCTCGAAACAGGTTTACAAAAAATTTAATTTTTATTTTAAAAGAAAAATGTGTTATACAGAATTGGAAAAAAATTATGGTAAAAATCAGCTAATTTTTTTTTCAAGAAAAAATAAAATTTAAATATTTAACAAATATATATTAATATTTTTAAATAAAATTGACAGTTAAGTTCAACTCAAGCATAAACTTTAATTTTATTATCTATATAAACTTTAATATATAGATAATAACTAGCGGTTGTATCCAAAATAATTGTAATTCAAACTTTTATAACAAACTTTTTTATATACTCTTCAAAGTTTTTTTTTTTTTTTTTTTATTACTTCCTTTATCTTAAAATATAGAATAATTTAAAAGTTAAAAAAGTGATAAAAAGTCACTTTAGGGAAATCACTTTATACGTAAGTAAATTGCCAGCAGCGTAATGCTTTAAAATAAGGCCTGCAACATGATCAAAAAGTATTAGCAAAAATTTAATTCAGTTGTTGGTTATCAGCAAAAAATATATAAGCATTGACATGACTATTTCATATCATCTATTTCATTCTACCTTGTATTACTCTATTATTATGTTCTTCATTCTACCTTGTATTACTCTATTATTATTTCTTCATTCTACCTTGTATTACTCTATTATTATGTTCGTCATTGTACCTTGTATTACTTTATTATTATGTTCTTCATTCTACCTTGTATTACTCTATTATTATGTACTTCATTCTACCATGTATTACTCTATTATTATGTTCTTTATTCTACCTTGTATTACTCTATTATTATGTTCTTCATTCTACCTTGTATTACTTTATTATTATGTTCTTCAATCTACCTTGTATTACTCTATTATTATGTTCTTTATTCTACCTTGTATTACTCTATTATTATGTTCTTCATTCTACCTTGTATTACTCTATTATTATGTTCTTCATTCTACCTTGTATTACTCCATTATTTTTACATCAATTTTTTTTTGGCGTAATTTCTAAATTATTATTAAATTAATGTTGAAATGCATAGGCTGTTTTAAGTATTTCCAACAACGGTTTATATGTTGTTTTAGTTCACTTGTTATTTCAAAACTATGAAACAATCAAACTGAAAGTAATATTTTTTCATAATGGAATTGCTTGAAATTTTCATAATATATTGCTTAAATGTTTGTAGCATAACATTGCGATTATTGGTATAATATTGATTATCAGTATAATAATATAACTCTTCATACACTGATACGCTGATACACTGACCACAATTTTAAGTGATGATTACAATTCATAATGAAATGGAATTGCATTTTACATTCAATTTCATTAAGATTACTTTTAGTATTATTGTTTTTAAATGCTTTTAGCTCATTGTTCTATAAAATCTGGGTTAGATCATTGTTCTATAAAATCTGGGTTAGATCATTGTTCTATAAAATCTGGGTTAGATCATTGTTCTATAAAATCTGGGTTAGATCATTGTTCTATAAAATCTGGGTTAGATCATTGTTCTATAAAGTTGTTTAGTTGAACTTGTCTTTAACTGTTGCAATAGTTGAGACAAATCTAAATAAGGCTTTCAAAATCATCTAAGTTATCAGCATAATCAAGTAGATTTTAACAAAGAGTTATTTGCATTTTCATTTTACTTGATAACTTTGTTGGCTTCATTTTAAAACTTTTACAACCATAGATAAATTTAAAAAGTTTATCAAGATGGTTGATTGTAAATACATTCTATTACTTATAATTTTTATTTATTGTGATTTGTTTAATTATGGTTTTTTATTTTTAAAATATTTTGTAACATTTTTTTCATTTAAAAAAGTGTATAATTTCAAAAACTTTGAATTTGCGTTAAAACTTAATAAATACTTGTTTTGAGGACTCTCTAAAAAAAAGTATTTTATTATATTTTTATTTATTTTTTACAGACAAAATGATCAAAAAGAAGCTAATCAGATAGCAAAGCAAACATCAACACTTCTTAAACAATTGAGTCAATTAGAAACTGGTAACACAGCAGAATCTGTAAGTTTTTTTACTATAAAGTTTGTATCATATTTCTTAAAAAAATTTATTATTGCTCAAGGCTTACTAAAAAATATTTGTGACAAAGAAAAACAAACTTTCTTTTTTTATATTTTATTTAATGATTAAGAATTAAATCTAGATCATCTATTTTAAATAATAATTGAATAAATTCATTAAATATAATTTTAAAAATTTTCTTTAAAATGTTATTTGAAAATTTTTTGAAAATTAGACAAATTTTATTGATTAAATTATGTATGTTGTGTCTCAAATATTTTTTGACTTACTTATTTTAAACATATTTTCTTCTTGTTTTTTAAAAATAAACTAAACAAATAATTTGATGAAAAACTCATATTCTAGAATTTATGATTTGGATAAAGCAATTGCATACTCTACATTTTTGATTATTTATGCAATGAGTTTTTTTAACGGTAGCTGTTCGTTAAGCAAAGAGTTGGAAAGCGAAAAGATGTGAATTTTTTCCTTATACTTTTCTTAAAACTTGACACTTAATTCATAACAAACATAGCGAAGTTAAAAATTCATTCAAAAGTTAATAAAACTTACTTTTCAAACATTAATTAAGCAACAAATTAAACTTTTCTTAAATTTAAAACAAATTAAAGTTTTTTATTAAAGCAATTAAAAATAAGAAACGCTACAATGCTACTCAAAAGAAACTCTTAACAAATTGTAAAATGCCTAATAAAACAGTTATTGAAAAATAGAGGTTTAAACAGGGTTGGAAAAAACCCTAGGTTTTTTAAAAAACCCAACCCAAATTGTTTTTTTTTTGGTTTTATTGGGTTTTTTTGGATTTAATGGGTTTTTTTTGGTTTTTTTAAAAACCGATCAAAATACCAAATTTTTATCATTGTATGTGTACAATAATTTTTTTTTTTAATTTCATAAATTCACCTCCCAGTGACCAATTTAGTCAAGGGAGCAATTCATTTTTAAAAAATGTTTTGTCTCAATCCTTAAAATTACCATTTTTACTAACAAACAACATTACCAATTAATATTTTTAAACAAAGGCGCTGTGCGGAGAAATAGATTGAACACAGTGATTTCAGCAGAGGTAATTTGAAACCCAATCTTCTGATTGAGAGCCAAATGTTTTACCACTAGTCTACTAGCACATTATATCTATAGTGCAAAAAGGGACTCCATCAACATAAATGATGTTTATTAATTACACTAGATTAAAAATATGTTCAGATTAAACTATAAATGATGTTTATTAATTGCACTAAAAATATGTTCAGATTATTTTTGACCAAAAGAAAAATCACTATAAAAATTATTATGACAATTGAGTTATTCAAAGTTAGTAAGACAATATAAATGTTGCAAACTAGTTTTTTATACTAATATGCTCAACATATCATTTCAAAAACTAAGTTTACAACATGTAATCAACAAGTTTGCAACATGATGTTGCAACCTTGTAAATTATTGTCAATCAGGATGACTATAAGCATTTTTGCATCATAGAAGAAAACTGTTACATTTTACATCACTATATTTTTTCTTAACAGAACATTATACTGTCCAGCTTCCTGGAAAAGTTATTGGCCTGATCAACATTATGCAGTAATTATCTTTATTTTCTTACTTTATATGATCATATTAGTATTTTTAAAATAGTAAGACTAGCTTCCATCGGTAAGCCAAGTTTTTGGGCTTCCATCATCAATCGACAATCTTCATAAGAATGATCAGAAACAGGGAGTTCAGCTAATCTAACATGGATATTTAGAACTTAAATAATGTAACCAATATTTAAAATATTTCTTTATACAAAATTACATAAATTAATTTAGCAATTATATCCAAATGTTTTAGATTAGAGAGTAATGATTAGCCAATTTGGGATGATATTGACACTTCATAATGTTTTATTTTTTAGATTATGGAGAGATTGGTTTTGCAAATGGGTTTGTGCCTAAGCTTTAATTGTTCTTGAAATATCTAAAATGAATTTGTTAATAACCATTACAGTGTCTTCACCACCAGATTCTTTTTTATTACTTAAAGATGTTTTACCAGCCCAGTTTTGCAACTGAATCAAAGTAACACAATATATAGCTCTGTTGTGTGTGTTTCTTCACCTTTTAGCAAACTTGGTACTGATGTTCATTTTCAACCCGCTGTTCATAATGACCCCTGTTGACGGTACATGTTGTAAACTTGTAGCTGATGCAAAATATTCAAAACTTGTAAAATAGACAGATGAGCATGAGTATCATTTTTACCAACAAATCTTGCCCTTGTAAACTGTATACAAGTTTTCAACATGTTCTCTCATTGAATGAAGCTTCCTTGCACATAACATAATTTTTTTTATGTTTTAAAGTTGTAAGCACTTAATAAGGACAAGTCTAGTAAACTGTAGCATTTTTTTTTTTTGCCTGACAACTTTCCTTTTCTAGACTGAATAAAGTTTAACAATTTTTATATATAGTATTTTGCTTGTGGCTTTGTACTGAAATTCACATTTTACAACATAAGCTTTAAAAAATAAAAGATCAAATACCAATACAAAATGACATCTATAGAACGCTTGTTTGGAAATATAGACATTCGAGAGGAGAATAAAGATACTAAATAACTAGTAATGTCTTGTACTTTGAAATTTAGTTAATAGAATAATTTTTATTTTCTTTATAAGTACTTAACTAATTTAATGTTTTAATACATATTTCAATAATATTTATAATAACTTGCTATATGTTTAAAAAAAATAATAGATAACCAACTTGCTACAAAAACAGATTGATTGGTTTTGGATATATTCTAAATACCAATTTGTATATAAATACAGTGTTTACAAGAGTAATTACAGCATAAAAGTTGCACTTGCTGATAATAGAGCATTTATAAGTGTTAAAATCAGAGTTATCACTGTAAAGTAGGGCATTTTAAAAAAAACCCAAATATATTTTGTTTGTTTTTTGGGTTTTATTGGGTTTTTTTGGGTTGGGTTTTTTTTGCCAACCCCGGGTTTAAATTCTGCAGCTTTTAAACAAATGCTTTAAAATAAGCATTTTAAATTGCTTTAAAATAAGCATTTTAAAATAATTTAAAATAATTCGGTATAAAACTTGAAGAGAGTAATCAGAGCTATTGAAAAATTGTCACAATAAAAAGCTGTGGTAAATTAACAACAGAAGCATTTGCATATGGAACATCAGTCATTAAAAAGAACAAATTTTCTGACAATGTTTTATGTTTTTATGTACATGCTGCAGCTATTTTAAGATTAAAGCAAAGCTAAGAAAAAACTCCCATCGACAGCACTTTGTTTTCAATAAAGTGCTGACAAATTCTGCTTTGTTTATACAAAGTAAATTTTTATTCCCCTTGGAGGTTAGAAAAATCTGGAGTTAACTGTATTGTCTACTTTTTTAAACAATTTGCTGTAACAAAATTTTCGCCTAGAGTTTATCATCTAAGTTTGCATTTCTAAACAAAATTTTTTTCATGATCAATTTGAAAAACTTGTAAAAATGTAATAAACAAACTATGAAATTTTTTTTTTGTTAAAATGAAAGTTTTTTTTGTTACAACAAAACTAAAAAATCATTAATTCATAAATATGCTATTCTTATATAAAGTTAAATTGCTACGTTCTTTTAAATTGTCTAAAAGCTATGCTCTTATTACACAATGTTCTCATAATCAATTGTTAATCATTTCATAAAAGGATGCAAAAAATCAAAAGCAAAATTTTCTGTCGATCAGATGTCAACAAAATAGTTGACCTGATGTCAACAAAACATGGCACTCTTGAGTTGTGCTTAAGTGGCGTGATTTTATTACAGTCAAGTTAAAATCCTTATAATTATTTTCTTATCTGCAACTTATCTTCAAGATATACTCTTCAATTTTTTCAAAAACTGTTTGTAAGCATTTAACGTTGAGAGCATTGGACAAAAATACTAGCAGGAAAAAAAAAATTGAAAAGGACATTTTTTTGTTTACCCATTTAAAGAAATTGTTGATTTTTGATTACACATTTTTGTGTAAATATGCCGGATAATTCAGGCCGCAAAGTCTTCCTTACGTTAAAGTTTGATTAAAAATGCATTAAAGCAAAATAAATATTTAAATAAAATATTTATTTTTAAAGTATAATATTTTTTAGGATTTTTTTTCTACATTTATAAAGCAAAAAATAAATTTTTGATATGACCCCCTAATCAACGTCTTGTTTTGATATTAACTTAAAATAACAAATTCAATTTGCGATTTCTCTTATAAGAAATAAAATGTATGTATGTACATAATCTTTCATTTTCCTTGTGATAATAGTTTATAAAGATAAGCTATTTAACTATATTTTAGAAACAAAGAAAATTTCAACAAGAAAAATTTCAAGAGAACTTTTCAATTGCTTTACAAAATCTTCAAAAAGTACAAAGGGTATGTATTATTAAAATTAAAATGTTCATTTTTTTAAATTTTTTTATTAATCTTTTATTGGTTTGTTTGTGTATAATTCAGGCTTAGTCGGGAAGCGGGTGCGATCATACTCAATTCCTGACCACGTATACAATATTTAGTTTCAACAATATGGCCACAGCTCTTTAATTGTTTTGAGAACATTTCCAAAAAAAAAAAAAGCACTGAAATATTTAACTGGACCGATGAGAGACAATTACAAAAAAAAACTAAAAAAACAGGCTCGTACAGCATAATTTTATAAGTGAGGTCGTTTTTGAAAAAAAAGGCAGTTTAGAAACATATATTTTGCTAAATTTTTATATGAAAATTTGCGTGAAGCAAAAAGTAATTGGTAAAAAAAAGATCTCCCCCCCTCCTCCGTTTGTACATTGAAAGGTAAATAATTTTTTAACGCATAATAAAAACTTGAAACAAAATGAACCACTTTTAGAAATAATATTTTCTTAACTTCACTTTTTTATAATTTTTTTATAAATTATGTAACATTTTAAATTAAAGTAACAACTTACTTTTAATAATTGTTTAATAAAGAAACAAATATTCTTCTATTTATCAAAGAGTATAATATAATTTCTTTTATTTATATAATTTTATCAATATTCTAATAAAACTAATGCTAGTTGAATTGTTTATTAAATAAAAAAATTAATATTATTTTAATGACTATTTCATGCATCGCATAGTTTGAAAAGTTTATTCTTGTATGTTTATTCATAATTTTATTAGCATTAATAATTTTAATTGATAATTTAATTTTAATTGATAATTAATTGATAATTTCATGGAAAACAAAGTCATTGTTAAAAGTCTTTTGTTTACAAAATCAATCATACAAGTTGCTTTAAAAGAAATACATTAACATAAAAAGAACATACATCAAGTTATATTTACTTAAGTAAAAAAAATACTTTTTATATTAAAAAGTAATAATATACTACTAAAATCTCTTATATATAATAAACTTTACAAAACTTTGATAATTTAAAAAATATACATTCAAAACTTCTATTTTTGTAAACAATAGTTTAAAATGTTTAAGGCTTTGCAGATGTATCTCCGTGAATGAGCAATAGTATTAAAATAATAAATTAAAATAAAATAATAAATTAAATTTAAATAATAAATTAAATTTAGATAATAAATTAAATTTAAATAATAAATTAAATTTAGATAATAAATTAAATTTAAATAATAAATTAAATTTAGATAATAAATTAAATTTAAATAATAAATTAAATTTAGATAATAAATTAAATTTAAATAATAAATTAAATTTAGATAATAAATTAAATTTAAATAAATTAAATTTAGATAATAAATTAAATTTAAATAATAAATTAAATTTAGATAATAAATTAAATTTAAATAATAAAGATTAAATCAAAATAATATATCAAATTAAAATAATCGTTTGATAAAATATTCTTATAACAATTAACGCTACAAATTTCAAATAATACAATCTTCAAGACAGAATACTCTAGAACGTTACTTTGCATAGTCAGCGTATTTTTTGAACCAATAGAATTAGTTTGTTTGTAGATTTGGCAGGTTTTTAGTGTTCGCAAATGTTCTTTATTCCGCACCAAGATGTTTTGAGAACATTTAATTTTTTGTATGTTTCCATGTATGGCCGCAAAAATTTTTTTTAAAAATACATTAAATGTTCTCAAAACATCTAATAAATGTGGCCAAGTTGTCGCAACTAAATATTATTTTCATGGTCAGTAATTGAGTGCGATCGCACCCGCTTCCTGACCAAGCCTGATAACTGTAAATTAATAATAATAAAGTTAATTATCTAAAACCCAAACCTAATTATTGTGTGAATCATACCAAAAACTGAAGGCCAATTAGTCCAGAAGACTTTGTGAAAGGTCATTTGTGCATATTTTGTAGATATACTTATTTTTGGAAAAATATTCTTTTCTAGACAAAACTGATTATGCTTTTGAAATGGTGTGTTACTCATTGTTCTGCTAAGTTAACTGACAAAAAAAGTAGTGTGATATTTGCAGATTACCATAAGGTCAGAAGTAAAGTGCAGGTAGTGGCTATTCCATGCTATTATAAAAAGTAACATTCCTGATAGCAAATATGCTTGTTGTTTGTTCTGAATATTGGCCTTTAAATTTCAAAAAAATAAATGTTTATGGTAAGAAATGGCCCTCTTCTACTCTATCTATATTTCATTCTGTTAAGTCCAGCCTTGTATTGTTTGCACCATAATCAAGGATTACAACTTCAGCTTCCAGTCAAGAAATGTACAAGCTGATCAACTTGAAACATTTATAGCAATGGGCAGTTTGCATTATTATGTGGTATATTTACCAAAAAATAAAAATACCAAAAGATTTACTAAAGTCATTAGTCTATAAACGTCTATAATAATAAATAAATATCATTAGTCTATAAATGTCTATAAATGCAATGAAAAAACAAGTTTTCATTCAACTGAATTTTATTGTAGTCTACCAAAGTAATATTAATTTTGTTAAAAGATATTATCTTAAAAAAATTATTTTTAAAAATAATTTTATTGATTTTTTTTATATGCAATTTTTATTAGGTTTATACTTAATCTTTATTTTAATTTAAAATAAGAGCCGTATCACTGTGGATGGTTATGTTATCTAAGAGTTTTTCAAAAAACCATGTAACTATTTCTACATGATTTTTTGAAAACCATGTAAAAATAGTTACATGGTTTTTTGAGAACAAATGATCTGAAAATCTTAAGGTGATACATTCTATTTCTCTACAAAAATCTTAAGGTGATACATTCTATTCCTCTACAAAAATCTTCAGGTGATACATTCTATTCCTCTACAAAAATCTTAGGGTGATACATTGTATTCTGTTACGAAAGAACTTTATGTTTGTTCAACCAATAAATGTCTTTTTTCATAATGTGAACTAGCTAGATCAGGACAAGGATATGTTTTTGGTAAACATTTTTTAATGTTTTTTTCAATTATCGGTATCAGTTGCTGGTTCTCTTGTTGTTCTAGTGTATGGTAATGTATGGAAATGCTTATGCTGTATAACCAAATCAATATTTTAGGTTTGAATTCATTTAGGCATATTAACATCAAAAACTAAAAATATGTATATATGTATATAGCTATGAAAAGTAAAAAACAAAAATGACAGATTCTGCAGTTAGTATTTTTTTAGCTATCTCTGTTACTTTTTTAATATTTGTTCCACTGTACTTTTTTATTATTGTTTTACAGCTAGCTGCTGAAAAAGAAAGATCAAGCGTACAAAGAGCAAGAGCTAAGTCTATTGAAAAAGGATATGGATATTCTGTAAATAATTTTTTGCTGCTATGTGTTTTTAAATAAGGATATATAATACATTTGATTTATTTAATTTCTTTTATTATCATTAGGATGATACATCACCAATCAAGTCTTCTGGGTAATCTTTTTTTTTCTGTAAATGTTTTTTTTTTACTGATTACTAATTATGCATTAATGTTATATGTTAATTATGAATTAATGTTATATGTTAGTTATGAATTAATGTTATATGTTAATTATGAATTAATGTTATATGTTAATTATGAATTAATGTTATATGTTAATTATGATTTAATGTGTTAAATGTTAGTTATGCATTAATGTGTTACTACTAAATTATGCATTAATGTTTTACATGTTAATTATGCATTAATGTTACAGAGTTCAATTACAAGTGCAACAGGAAGCAGAACTTTCACTTGATATGATTAAAGAGCGCGAAGATGCTTTACGACAACTGGAAGTAATATTTTTATAATATAACGAAATACTTAAGGTTGTTAATACAAGTTTCTCAAACTTTTATTGTGTTCTTTGTCTTAACGTTTTTTAAATCTACAACATATAAACTTAAGTATTTGTAAATTACTTTTTGTAATTAAAAAGTTTTCCAATACTGAAAGACAAGTGTTGTAGTTTTATTGGCCGCATTGAAAAGGTCCCCCAGGCTATGAAAACATTACAGACCATGGAGACTCATTTCCCACCTACTTGCTCTCTCTACTTGCGTAAATAAATAATAGTTATTCTTTGTTAGCCATATTTTTTGATGTTTTTAGATAAATAAATGTGTTTTTACATTTATTTATCTAAAAAAATCAACAAACATTACCCAAGATTTAGGTAAGTTCTAATTTTGTTTGCTCAGAGATAACAAATGTTTTCGCAGTAATTTTTGCTTAAACCTACTTTTGCTTAAACTGACTTATCTAAATGAACTCAGTATTCACATTTTTTCACAACTGGCGACAACTGCATAATTGCATGTTAGACTCAGATAACATTTTGATTGTTCAGTTTAACGCACATTAAAAAAAAGTTAAATGCATAAAGTAGTATATGATGTGGTAAATTTATAAATGCTTAATTTATTGTAATTTATTAAGAGTGAAATATGAATGAAAACATGGAGGCTGAGGTGACAGAAGTAAGTCCCACTGCAACATCTTCCAAGGACAAGCAAGTAGCGCCACTGCAATCTGGTTCACCAAATGTCTCTGGATCTACTTGTCAAGAAACTACTCTCTTGGCCTTTAAGAAGAAACTGCAGACTCACCAATCTACCGAGTTGTTTGGTTTAGGGTCTGCTATTTGCAAAGCTGGTTCATCTATTGCTGTTATTCGGCTGCCCACCTGCTTGCAAGTCTTAAGGTGCATGATGTACCACAGCAATGCAGCATCACAAGGTGAGCGACCCGGATCTATTGGTGCACAGGCTCGGTTCACAACAGCAAAGATTGTGCTGCATGGTTGCTGCTTCATATGCTACTGCAGGTTGTTATCGACATCGGGTAGTAGGCAAAATAGCTACAAAAATCCACAATGACTAAGAACAACAAAAAATATGTACTCTGCTCTGGGATGGAAAGTTGACACATATTCTTGAAAACCACAGAGTCACTCAAGAACGCATGATGGTGGTTGTCGGTGATGCCTATAAATTATAGCTCTTGGGAGTGCCAAGTTATTACAAACCTTCAGACAAGTCATGTGGAGAAATAATTGCCGAGTTGACTATGAAGCTGATGACTGAGTGGCATTGTGATGATCTAATCATCAATATGACATTTGACACCACCAGTTCTAACATGGGTCACCTAACAGCAGAATGCATTGCCATTCACGATAAATGTCAGCGTGCAGTTCTCCAGTCAGGTTGTCACCATCACATTGGAGAAGTTCTTCTATCACATGTGTTCACTGATATGAAGATAGAAGAATCAAAGTCACCAGATGTTACATTATTTACATGGCTGAGAAGTAACTGGGATTAAATACCACATGACACTCTCACATACTCCCGTTTTGTCCAGCTGGTCATAGCCTACAAGCACAAGAGCTGCTGGCAATAATGAAGGAAGAGGCCATTGCTGCAGAAAAGATTAAGTTCCTGTGAGATGACTTTAAGAAATTCACAGAGCTGATGCTGTACCTGTCCTCAGAGAAGCATTTAGTAATTTTTAAACAACCTGGTGCACTACACAAAGCCCATTGCATGGCAAAGCTGATCTACACCCTCAAGATTGCACTTTGTGAGACGTAGATTGGAGAGCTTCCCCCAGGCACCATTACTAGTCATCACTAAGTGCAAATAGTGCGTGCCTTCGCCACATTCGTAGCTCATGTGTATATGCAATGGCGGCTTACATGCAAGAAAACTGTAGATTCACAATGGAATGATCTTCAGCTGTATAAGCATCTACTAGCTTATGAGTCTGTTGATAAGCTTATTTCACGCTCTGCAATTTGAGCTCTAAATTATCATCTCTGATATTTGACTGATGAGATGGTCCCACTTGCTTTAATCAGTACTCGTGTACAGTTGAATGAGAGACAAGCAATTGCATTGCTACAATTCAGACCACAATCATTGTGTGAACTATAAGCTCCAGTCCATCGATTTGGTAATGGATGGGGTAAACCTATTTTCCCGTCATCCATAATCAGCTCAACACAGCTGTGTGAAATTATTTGAGAGGACTTCTGGTTTACCATATATCAACTGCAGATAGACACCAACTTTCTTGAACTCCCCGTTAGTGAGTGGGAAAGCTCTGCGACATACTTGAACAGTGCAAAGAATGTTGCAGCAGCGAATGTTGCTAATGATTATGCTAATAGAGGTGTTAAACTGGCTTTAGACTTTGTTGATACTGCTAGATCAGATGGACACTTTCAAAACATTCTTAAGGTAGTTGAAAAAGATCACAAGGATACTACAAACCTTCGGTGCAAACATGGTGTCAAGAACATGGACTAATTAAGCCGCACAATTTCATTCATTTCTGTTGTACAATGTACAACAGAAATGTTATTGAAACCAAGCAGTGCAATATAAAATTAACACTCAACAGTTGACAACACTCAATTTTTGTGTTGAAAATTTAATTTGACTTCAAAAACAGAAAAATCATGTTATGTGTTCTTTTTAACAACAAAGAAAATACTTGTTTATTACTTTGTACATAGTTATACAATTTATATATCTATAATATGTAATTATGCATGACCAATCTTGAATAAGAACAAACTTTTCTCAGCCTTGGGCCTGGCAGCCTGGTAATTCTTATAATTTTCCTGCAGTCTGTCTAGTCTAATATTAACAGTGTTGCAATAATTGAGATTAGTCTCAGGTTATTTTTTGGTGCATGTTAGAATGCTTGGTTACGCTCCTGTTTTCAACACATGATATTCAAAATGGTGAAGGAATAATAATAACGACAAGTCAAACCACTATATTTTTGTCGATTGTGTCTATCTGTATTAATAATTCAGCTATGATGCCACGTAAATGAAAAAAAAACCTCTAATCAACTCTAATTTTGAAAATATTTCACTCAATTTATCAGTATTCATAGCATAACACTTTGGAAACACAGGCAGTTAATAAATATGAAGTTGATTTTTTGCCCTACTATGGTGATGCACCCTAATATATAAACAAATAACTATGTGTATATTTTCGAGAACTTGTATTAACTGCGTTGGGTATTTAAAAGTTATTACTGTTGACAGCTTAAAAATAAGTTGAAAAATAAGATTGTTTATTATATGTGTGTATTCAGGTTATGACTTTTTATCAACCCCATGCTCCTGTACTGTAGTTTGATGAACTTTTACCTAAAAAGCACGAAATGAACTATTATTTGCATATCTTTTCAAAAAAGTTAACTCCGCCATTGAAAAATTGATTTTGACATAAGTACTACTAATAAATTTTCAATCCAACAATGAGCCAGACCGCTGACCTCGCTCTTGCTTGTTGCACAGAAGGAATCGAAGGTACAATTTTTCTTTATTTTTGCATGATGAATAAATTTCCTCCATTACTTTGTTTGCACAGTCTGCACATTGATTACTTCTGGGTATCTGTAGTATAGATGGCTCTCATTTCCAGTGATTTTTCAAAGAGCTTAAAGCCTTTTTGTATGGATTCAGTATTTCAACCAAGTTATTAAAGTTGTTTTTGTTGTACAGTTGGTCTGCCCAGCCATACAATATATATTGACAAACTCTCTGCAGCTGTCCTTGTTGAAGGAAGTAAAATGAAGGCCAGGATCGCTAGTATAGCTCTGGAGTTCCACCTCGCATTGCTGATGTTGGGTATTTTTTGAAACTTGATCAATGGAAAATGTCTCTTTTCCTCAACAAATCGGAACACTCGAGTGAGATGAAACAAAAATTTCATATCATCTCTCCACCCTGATGTTTCGAGAATTACTTCTTTTTCGATACAAATGGATATTCAATGTTTGGCAATTGTGTTTTACTTCCAAGTTCTTTATCCATCACCAAAAAGAGGATTCTATCTAATACAAGGTATTGACAACTGATAAACTGAGGTTTGTTGATGCATTTCTTTGTGAGATGGTACAATTGCTTGTCCTCGGAAAATAACCATGTTCCATCCACTTGTTATATTAAAAGTTTCATCAAGGGGTTAGTAGCTTCCCCGCTTGATACATTTATCATAACATTTCAGTATTTTATCAATTCAGTTTATTTTTCCACAATTTGGTGACTTCTTTGGAAATTTCGGCTATTCGCTCCTTTCTTTCTTTGATTTTTGGTCCAAGGAAATGGTAGCGTCCAATAATTTGCTTTTGGAGAGGCATTCTGCATTTTTCTTCCAGTGAATATTCTTCCAAAGGGACCATTTTTCTTCTTTTATGAGAATCTTCAAATTTTACCAGATTATTGGTCCAGACATCCTTGTTCTCCTGAATGCTACTATCGCTAGGCTTGTACGACGCCATGTGTTGCTTCTGTAATAACTATAAAATTAGATGAGCAGCTATATATAGTCTAAAATGCTCTAGAATATTCCAGAATGTTCTAAATTGTTCTAGAATGTTCCAAAATATTTTAAATTGTTCTAGAATGTTCTAAATTGTTCCAGAATGTTTTAAATTGTTCTAGAATGTTCTAAAGTTTTTTAAAATATTCTGTTATTTTCCAAAATGTTCTAAAGTTCTTAACACTTCTAATCTATATAAGTTTTAAATGTTTTGCAGGAAAGCCACACATATTAGTAGAAGCGCAAGACTAAATAAATGGCAAAACGTAATTTGGTGAGCTTTTTTTACAACTGAGAGAAATTGAACATGTTTTCAATGTTTTCTAATAAAAGTTCATCAATTTATGACACTGGGAATTAATTTTTTTTAAAAAAAAAGTCATAACCCTAGTGTGTGTATATATATATATATATATATATATATATATATATATATATATATATATATATATATATATATATACAGTATGTGCCAAAATTGTCACCATGTTTGAACAAAAAAGTATTTTATATATATTTTATTAGAAAAGCTGTGAAGAAAAATGAAATTTTAGTTTTATTAATTAAATTTAAGACTTAGCTAACAAAAAATATTGCTTTTTGTTAAATTTAGAAAATATTGAATTTTTTAAAAAATTTTTATGCGAAAAGCTAATGGTGACAATTTTGTCGCAAATGAAAGCAATAAACATATTTGTCATCAGTTAATTAGGCATACGACATAAATTAATAGCCTTATGACTAAAATGATTGAGTTATCAACTTTTCACAGATTTTTAACAATTAAATATCATTTAAAGTTTGATTTTGGTTACAAAACCTAAAAAAAGTATTGTTATTATCATCATGTGGAAAATAAATCTTGAACTAGAAAATAATATTGTGGAAAGGCTTAAATCTGGACTATTTTATTGTGAAATTGTTGCTGAGTTCGGAGAGTTTCATAATCTCATATATAAAAACAAATTGTGCAATAATTTAGAAGTAAATAAGCCTAAAAGTGGTCGAAAGAAAATTTTTACACCAAGAGATCAAAGAACAATCGCTCGTTTAATTGCTTCTGGAGAGTCTAAAACTGCAAAGGATGTTACTAATTGAATGAATAACAGCTATGGGACTCATGCTTCAGTGCGGACAGTTTTTTTTTTTTTTTAATTTTACTTCATCTCCTCAAGGCCGAGAAGGCCACTACAGACGAGGAGGCTTCTTATTTTGTGGCTATAACCCTCTCTCAACTCTATAACTCCGAAACATGAACCTTGACGAAGAAGGCTGCTGCTCGGAGAAACGAGTTGAGCGCGGTACTACCAGGGACGTGGTGGGGATCGAACTCGGAACCACTCGTTTATGAAGCGAGCGCTCTACCACTACACCACTACCACATAAATAGTTAATAGAAAGCTCAAAAGAATTAGTTTTTGATCCAGAAGAAAGACCAAGAAGCCATTGTTAGTTTCTTGTCACCACCAAGCTCGTTTAAATTATGCTAAACTTCATGCACACATGACTTTTGACGACTTTTATGACTGGATTTGGACAGATGAAAGTGAAACTTATATGTTTGGAACAGATAGTATAAGATATACTTGGAGAAAGCCTAATTCACCATTAAGTCCTCAAGATTTTACATCAACCATTAAACATGGCGGAGGAAAACTCTTGTTTTGGGGATATTTCTGTGCTTGTGGAGTTGGTGAATTAGTGAAAATTAATGGAATAATGAACGCTGATGGCTATATCAACATCCTTAAGGTCGGATATTTCAAGTCCCTTAAAATGAACTGTACGTAACAAGATGTTCATGCAAGACAATGACCCCAAGCATAAGGCTGATAAAACCATTAAATTCCTTCATGAGAAGAAAGTGAAAGTCGTTGACTGGTCAGCGCAAAGCCCTGATCTTAAACCACTCGAAAATTTATGGGCAATAGTTAAATAACTCGATATTAATTTACTACAATATGTTTTTTGGTTTCATTTGCGACAAAATTGTCACCATTAGCTCTTTACGTAAAAATTAAAAAAAAAAATTCAATATCCTCTAAATTTAATAAAAAGCAATATTTTCAGTTAGCTAAGTCTTAAATTTAATTAATAAAACTAAAATTTCATTTTTCTTCGCATCTTTTCTATTAAAAAAAATATAAAGTATTTCTTTGTTCAAACAGGGTGACAATTTTGGCACATACTGTATATTTATATATATATATATACATATATATATATATATATATATATATATATATATATATATATATATATATATATATATATATATATATATATATATATATATATATATATATATATATATAAATATATATATATATATATATATGTATATATATATATATATATATATATATATATATATATATACACACACACACACACTTACTAAAGGGTATTTTTATAAGCATTTGCTCACTTTTTTTGCCTACCTTAATCCATACGGCTCTTTTAGTAAAAGAAGAAAAAAAAAAACAAAGAATGATGAATAAAACGATTGCTGCCCCATCCCAAACTCTCAGTCGATGTAGCAGCACTCCACTGCGAGTCAGGCTATTTGTCAGTCGATGTATGTACTGAAGCCCCCAGTAGCAGGCTATTTCAGTATGATGTCAGATTGCTTACCTTAGTTCGCAATACTATTTGTATATATATATATATATATATATATATATATATATATACATATATATATCAGTCTTCTCTGTTTGACGAGCGCTTTTGCGCTCTTGCAGTTTTGCGTTTGCCAATACTATGGCTGGTGCTTTTTTAAGCGTTTGCCAAAAAATTTCAAGCATGTTTTAAAATTGCAACAAATTTTTTTTCTTAATCAAATTCTAATTAAAATATAAAAATAATTAAAAAAATAAATATTTTTTAAAATTGCGCATGCCAGACAAATAATTACTGTCAGGCAAGTGCTTTTTTGTGCGCTGGCGGTAAATTTCAAACGGAGAAGACTGATATATATATATATATATATATATATATATATATATATATATATATATATATATATATATATATATATATATATATATATATACCATGTTATTACTTTACTGAAAATTACTCTTTCAATTTGAACTCTAGTCAGACATTGTTGATGTTAATGAGATATTTAAAGACCTTGCAATCATGGTACACGAACAAGGTGAAATGATTGGTAAGTGATTTAATGATTAAATATTTTTTTTACAAAAATAAAAAATAAAAAAAGTTTTCATTACATAAATAGTTTTTATTAACGCACAGTTAGAGTTAGTCTTATTTGAATTACAATGATATTAATATTGGTCGCGTTTGCTCAATTTAGTATTATAAGCTTGCAATTTACTTAGGTTAGCTAGGTCAGGTTAGCTAAGCTAGCTCAACATATTTGCTATATCTTTTGGGTCTGTGATAGTATGTCCATTTTTATTTCTCCAAGACTTTATTCTTGACTTTTTTTCTGTTTCACTTTATTAATTATATATATATATATATATATATATATATATATATATATATATATATATATATATATATATATATATATATATACACACACACAAAATCAAATTCTTTTTGCTCCAAAATCAACTACTGCTGATAATAGCCTGTTACCATGTTCGGAATGCTCTATTTGTCTTTTAAACCTTGTCCATGTTGGCTTAAACTTTGCATGAATACTTTCTCCACATTGTTCAGCAAAGTTACCTAATCCTTTGTTATGGTGTTCCACATATGGCTGTATATGACACAGTAGAATGTGGACTTTCCATGTTGTATTTATTTGTTTATTTAAATTTATTGCAACTTCTTGTGCGGAAAGAAATGAATTCTTTAAATTTGTTATTGCTTCTTTGAAGCCAAATTGTTAATTGCTGGAAAAGCAACTATTTTTTATATTACTAAAATATCTCAAACACTGAACAATTGGAATCAAACAAATAAATGTTTCTAAAATTTGTGTTTTAAGAGAATCCAGATTTTCTAATATTTTATTTGAATTGTTTCTGTCCCAGCCTCTGCCTTGGTACCCTCGCTGAATAACATTTTTTGACTTTAGCTAATCATCAAATCCTGGCCAGACATCTAACAAAAAATTTCCAAGCAATGAAACAAAACCAATTAACAATTGAAGTTCAGGTGGAGGAACTAGTTGCTCAATTAAAGTATTTGGTAATTAAGTAATATATTTATAAAGTATTATCTAAAATAATATATAAAATTCGAGGATTGATGCAGTTCATAAACTCTTGTAAGGTTTTACTGAGTTATTTTCTAAATATTTATTGTACCAATAATCAATACTGCCAAGAGTTTGTTTTGTCCCTAAATTTAATGTAGATATTCCTTCACACCATAAATAAGCTTTTTTCCCAGAATGCCCTGATAAACCAAACAGCACGTTTCCACATTTCAAGTCAAAAGCAACATAAAAACTGACATCTTGGAAATTTATTTTTTCTTTAACAAGTCTCAAGTTATAGTTAGATTCAGGAATATCTTCAACAATAGCTAAAAATTGAGACCATTGAACACCACTATTTAAGTAATTGTCTGACTCATTATCTTTTTGACAATCAAAGACATTGATGATTACTTTAAAAAATGAACCTCCACCATCTAATGAAATTCTTATAAAGGCTGAAGTAGGATTGACACCACACAATTTTAATAAGTCAAGTACAAAATCTGATGTATTTTGAACATATACAAGATCTCGTAAAATAAAATGGCCTTTACTATCAACAAACTCGCATTTCTGCTCACTGTAGTAATTAGAAATATATTCTTCTAATTCAGAAAGACGACCAAAAGTATTAGGCTCAATGGAAAGCTTATTTCCTAAACCTTTGCGTAAAGTAGAAAGCATCTCTTTTGTTTTTCTATTTGAAAGTTCTAACACAATTTGTAATTGCTTTATTATTTCGAAGGAAAGCTGCTTAATAGAAGTTCTTTTTGATTTGTTTTCTGGTGTACCAACTGTGACTTTGAGCGGATTTCCTCCTGTAGATAAACAAAACATTGATCCATCAATCAAACTTTCTGTAGCCATTTTACTTTTCATAATTCCAGAAGCAACCTACGTAAAGTTTTTACAAAATGAAATTTGCATAAAAAACTAAAAACTTATAAACAAAATATAGTTTTTTTTACCTGTTCAGCTTGAAGAGAACCTAGAAGAAATGACAGTGTAATGATATTTGCCACAGCACTGGTGGGTGTAGAGTTATGAGAATAACCAGGTGCAGGTAATGTATAGCAAAAAGAACATATACTTGACTTAGTTGTCGGTAAATTAGTTATCTCATCTGGAAGAGTTAGAATGGTTCTGGGGCTATTTCTCAAAAGGGTTTTCCACTCTACCTAAATAAATATACATTTATAAATAAACAAAAGAAAAAAAAAGAAAAAAAAAGGAAAAAGTCATTAAATTTATCTTGGTAACCTTAGCTCCCCATTCACCACAAGGTGAGTCTCCCTTTTTGAGTCTGTAAAGATTTCTTCGGCAACCAGGATAAACAACTGATGGATAGCAATCGTTGTTCATCGAATATCCAGAAACGATAAACATTTGAATTTGTTCTTCTATGTTTTTATTCAATTTTTTCAATGATTTTGATCTTTCGCTATACTTTTCCCAGCAATAGCAACAAGTAGAATTCATTTTTAAGTGAAAGAAATACAACTCCTAAATAGCACGACTTTCCGCCATTTGAAAATTTTTATACTACCATCTTTTAAATCTCTGAATTTTTTTTGATTAGTTAGTACAGGGGGTAATTAAATATATAAGCCCATCTAATATGAGGTTACAGTATAATTAATATAATAAATAACTAATATTTAGTTAACTATATATGAAAATTTGTTTAAAATAGTTTTTGGACATTTATAATTTTATTTTTAAAGTATTATATTGAACAATATATTTTACAAAATAAATTTTGTTACCTCCATTAAAAAAATATCTATCAGTGGTTTCCAAGGATAAAAGCAATTTTTTAAACATATTTTTAAGTCAAGATCCGGCGAAAAATTAAGAAATTTTATAACTATTTTATAATATATTTATATCAAAAAAGGTAAGATAGCAATGCGTTTCGATTTCAAAAAATATATTTTCTAAAACAATATGTATAATACTTTCATAAAATAAGGACTTGGTTTGAGTGCCAAGACAAAAAACCTGGTGCACAGTGTGTAAAGCATTCTTTTGTTTGAACTTAATGCTTGAGTAAACTTAACGATTCTAATTTATGTTTAAAAAAATATATAGAAGAACGCGCAAAAGAAACGGCAGTTGCGAAAACTGCTGTTTGAATTGAACAGCATTGAAAGCTACTTCTTTTATTAAAAAAGAGACAATTCTCTTTAAGCTGTACTTTCAAGAATGATTACAGAAGATGGCATTCCTTTCAATAAATTTTGTACATCTGAAGATTTAAAGATATTACTAAAAACAAAAGGGTACATAGAGTTACCAAAATTTCCTGAAACCATTTACAAAAAAGTAATGGGTTATGCTGATAAAATAAGGAAGGAAGTTGTAAAGAAAATTTCACAGAATAAGCTCCATAAAAAAGCTTATAGCCTTACCACAGATGAATGGACATCAAATAAAAAACTGCCACTATATAAATATTATTCTTCATGGAAATGACGTGAATTTTTGGATGGTGAGGTGCGGATCCATGAATCTGAGTACACCCAGAACTAATTGAATAGAAGCTTAAAGAGTTTAATATAGCTTTGTCAAATATTGTGTGCATAACATAGGACAGAGCTGCCATTAATAAGAGAATGGTAATGTTACTTAATTTGGACAGGAATGGCGTACAATTGTACTCTGTTACTGACCACGCTCATATTTTTTTTCTTTACAACTTGACGGCGGTTATTTTGATGTTTTAACAATTTGAATGCAATAAAAAAAGTGTTACGTTATAAATATCTTTTAATCGTTGATCTTTTCTAAAGTTTTTATTTTATGCGAAGGCTTTAAATAAAATCAACGCATATGTAATTTATAAAAAAAACATTATATATAAGTTTTTTTTATGTAGGCATGTATTTTTTATGATAAATTTAAACGTTTGAAACTATTTTTCCATGTCTTCATAAAACATTTTTTAACCATTATTTTTAGAAAGAATTTTTTTTAAGTTACTTTAATTTATGAATGAGTTCAACAGCTATTGTGACTACTAGCTTTTACACATTTTATGCGAATTATAAAAGAATATAAAATAACTTTATTTACTTATATAAGAATGTATTTTGCTTATTATTGAAAAAGTTTTAAAGCATTTTATAATGTTAATACGATTAATTTTTATAGTTATATTTTAAAGTTATGATTTTTTTAAATGTTTTAAATAAACATTTTATTTTTGGAAAAATTATTATTATTTTTTTTCAATTTTGATAGGAATGAGTTTAAATCTTTTATAATAGTTTTTAAATTCGTTATGCGAAGAGCTTATTAATAAAGTTATAATGCTCAAATTAAAATTGAATTAAAATGCTTGTTGGCAGTTTATTTTATTTCAATCACAGGCGCATTTTTTTTTTTTTTTTTTTTTTCTGTTTTTACGAATAAAAAAGTTAAAAAACCTTTTTTTAAATTAGACTAATAAGAACATAAAAATTTTTAAAAATTATTATTTTAAAAAGACTGTTATTTTTTTAAACAATTTTTTTTTTTTTTTTGCAACTTTTTTGAAAAAATAAATGTTTATACAACTTTAAAATATTATATACAACACTTTTTAATAAATTTAATAAAATTTGTTCATTTATTAAACAAACATTAGTAGTAATTTGTTACTTAATTAAAAAACATTTTGCATTACTTTAAACATTTAAAAGATAAGCTTTAATAACGTTTATTTCATATGTATTTAAAAACGTAACAAAAAATTTCGCTTTGAGTTTAAATTTTTATTTTTATCTTAGTGCTTAAATGATTTCTTTTTCGTTACAAATTTGTTGTTTGTTTTTTTTAACTTTTTTGCTAGTTTAAGTTTAGCTTAGCATTTCTACATTCAGAGCATTTCTGAAATTAAATCATCAAAACATATTAAATCATCAAAACATATAGACACAATCTTAGTCTTTGTAACTTGACCACAATCGTGGTCAAGTTAAAAAGACCAAGATTGTGTCTATATGTCT